AATACAAGTTGATGACTTCAATTACATAATTCTTGCACTTGTACTGAATATGTAGCTGTAAATGCTTTACTGATAAAAAATAAAAAAATAAAAATCAGTAGAATTATTGCTGGGTGAACATTTGTGTTAGTTGCACAAGATTTATGTTAGGAATATTTAAGTTTAAATTTTTTTACAATATGTTTATCGTTGGCTAAATATTTCTTATTTAGCAATATTTTTCTGAATAAAGTAAACCTTTGTTAAAATACATGCGTGTAGTTTTTACTACTACAATTTCGATTAAAATTGCAATTGTCCAAGATGACTAAAAAATACCCCACAAAAAATAGATTTTTTTTTATTTTTTTTAATCGCCCAGGCCTACATCAGAGCTGGATGGGAAGCGAAACGTCTTCAAACTTGGAAACAAAGTCCAGTGGATTGTTTTATTACTTTTTTTAAATGACTGAGAATCTTCACCACCTAACTCCATCAGAGCAGAACTTTTTCATTGATCACTGAAGCTGGGCAGCATGAGGACAAATCATTTAGAAACAGATCAGTTAGTCTCTGATAACAGTTTCTTTCTTCTTATTAATAACCAGTTCAAACCTCTGATGCTCCAGCAGTTCGTTTCAGTTTCTGCTTTTTCAGCTTCTCCTTTCAGATTTGACATGTTTCCTTTCAGAACAGTCTGTCCAGCCGTTTCACAGGGATGTCTGATCTTTTTCACATCAAGTCATAAAGCAAAGTTTATCTTCTTAAATATTCATTTGTATCAATAAAACCACTGAATGCAGTTTGGTTGGTGACGGTTGAACAGCTGATATGCCTTCATTAATATTTTAGGTTCCACTGGAGACAAACGTTGAGGCTTCCTCTTTCCTCCCGTTGTCATGGTGAATCGTGTTCTCTGCCTTCCATTGATCGGGGCTTCTATAAGCAACAGTTCTTCCTCCTCAGAGGAGCAGGATTCAGCACCGAGTTCTGCTAATCTAACGGAAACCGATTCTTCCATCATAGTTTTTATAATTTGATTCCTGCTTTGGATTCCCAGTCTGCTGCTCAACACCAATGAAGAAGAAACCACAGGAAGCGTGGACACAGAAGTTCAATCGGTGTGTTTGATTTTAAAGGCTGCGTCCTTGAAAATAAGGAGACCGGAAGAGTTTTGGTTGTGGATTCAAACAGTTCCAACCTTCTACAGCTTTCTCCGCCCATATGCTCTGTCGCCTAGCAACCCTGAGAGTGGACGCACAAAGCAGGAGAAGAATGAATACCGAACTTCTCACTGCTTTTTCAATAAAATAAACATTGCCTGCTACATATCTGAATCAATAACCATTTAAAAAACTCATTTCAGACGGAACTATTCACATGCTTAGATTATAATTAACTGCCCTTTCAATATTCACCATTATTTTTCCTCCTAGCACGGAGCAGCCGGTTTGCTTGGACTCAATGAATTATGGGATATCGAGGCTACAGAGGAAACCTGTTCTTCACCACGGGAAAAAAGAAGGCCGCATAACGAGGAGTCTTCCAATCCGAACAGACCTCCACGCCGCGCTATGATGTCATCGGCCAACTAATCTGGTCTTTGGAGGACGCAGCTGCTGGATTGGAAGTCAGCAAATTTAATCCAGAAAGAGCGGTGGTTAGCAGCTAACTTAAAACACAGTAATTATTATATTATAGATTTTTTTAAAATATTAATTGATCAATAACCAGATAGAAAAAAGTGCTTGAAAGTTTTTTTTTCTTTTTTTACAGAAACTGCCTCACTTTAGTTCTGGCTAGAACGTATTTACAGACAAAAGGTTTTTATCTTAAATGCTTAATGTTTATTTTTCTATAGGTTGGTTCTTCCAGCAGATTACATGTTTCAGAGTCTGGATGCAGAATAAAACCATTAAACTGATCACCAAATGGGTAAATATTTTAATCATAACACGATTAATCCAAGTGTTTCAGCCTTAGCATAGATATAGCGACATAGA